AGGTTTCTGGTTTCCAGAGACATCGTCGGCATACCGTGCTTCACGACAAGGACACACAGGCGACATGTTTGTATGCGAACACATCCATGCATCAGAGTTCTTCCTTACTCTTGCAGACCCCACATCACCACCCTCATTTCTTATTTCTCCTCCGAGCCACTCATCTGCCTAGATCTGGCGGCAACAGAACATTCGGTTCCCGAACCGAGAGGAACAAACGTTCAATTAGAACCTTTTATGTTTCTTAACAGATGATCAATTACTCTGTTGATAGTTGTTACATGTGACAAATTTTAGGTGTGGTCCTTCCACGCTATCACACCATAAACATAATCTACAAATTTTGAAGCAACCAAACCATACGTAGCTATGGAATATTGTACCACTAAAACATTTGTACTTTTGTTTTGAACGTTCGGTAGTACTCCATCCGTTCCTAAATATTTGTCTTTTTAGAGATTTCAAATGAACTACCACATGCGGATGTATATAGACTTATTTTCGAGTGTAGATTCACTCATTTTGCTTCGTATGTAGTCACTTGCTGAAATCTTTAGAAAGGCAAATATTTAGGAACGGAGGGAGTAGAATGGATACATTATTTTCACGTCACAGTTTAGGTGGCCCAATCATCAAAGTTCAGGGATTAATTCAGATTTTTTTAGTTAACAAAACATATTAGCCCATTATCCACCTGTTAGAGATATACAAGTATGTGAATGACAGAACGCCTGCCTTTTCCTAATAGAAAAAAAATACTTAACACTGCAGAATATACGAGTGAGTGCCACATATGAAATCATGTACATGTAAATAGACCGGAGTCGTTAGTAGTCACCTCTTGGTAGAAATATATGTGCGTCAGCTAGTATTTGGTCTTTTAAGCAAAATTCCGATACAAAATATATTTAATTAAGCAGTTTTCTTTCTAGAGCAAACAATGTACATCGGATCTGTTTGTCCTGGATTGGGAGATATATCAACAGCCTGTAAAAACAGAAAAGGATCTGCATCAAGGGGCTTGATTTGAACACATAAAGGCGGAGATTGTTACAACCATGTACCTAGTATGTACAGGTACATGCAAATGCAAAATTTAGGAGGCCATTGAACCCTTGCTAGGAACACCATGTCGTGGCGTAAATTATTAGACAGATGGCATACCTCAGGGGGCTCGAACCCTCCAGCATAATGGTAGTATGCACCAACTATCCAAGCATGGTCAGCATCACCAGTTGATGTCCAAATGGATATAGCTTTTGTCCAAAAGCAGCGATTTGAAAAGCTGTATCCAGAGTTAAATCGTGATTAGAACAAATTACAGGAAAAACTGATATTCGAAAAACAGTTCTTATGGTCTTACCGGTCATGCTAGTTCTTACCTCATGATAGCTAATCCAGATGGTTTAAGTATTCGTCTCATCTCCTTAAAAACATCCATTGGTTTTGTCAAGTAGTCTACACTAACCTAGAAGCAAAAAAAGAAAAGAGGAAATTTATTATCATTCCATACATGCAACTAGATAGAGGCCCAAATGTAAGATTAGTAATATGTGTTATGCCTACAAAAGATGGACCAGTTGTTCAGCAGGACTGAATTCATCATAAGAACACCATACCACGTTCGTTATAACATCAAAGGTGTTATCGTCAAAAGGAAGCTTCGGATTCAAATTGAGGTCTTGCACAACATACTCTGTCAAAACCTATTATTACCAGCAAACAATCAAGAGAGTTGCCAATAAAATTAGGGTCGGTGTATCAGCCGAAAAGAAATAGCAACTGCAAGACGTGTTAATAGTACAAAGAGACATTCCTAGCAGAGCACATGTACACTATCATGTTTAGAATTATTTGCCATGGCCCCAATGGAGAGCCCTCAACTAGACTCAATAGTTACTGAACACATACATATATATAGCAGACCAAATACAAAATCACACTAATTTAGTAAAACCAAAGTTATATTTGAAAGAAATGAAGTTACATATCGTATCCAGTTACTAACTTACTATACTTCAGTTACAGACAGAGACTGATTGAAGTGCCTATCTTAACTTTTATCCTATTACCACCAGAAAAGGTTTCCTTTTCTCAACAGTCATTTCTTCTGTAGTAACATAGATACTACAGTATATATTTTAGTCATCATAAGTCGTATGACTACTACTCCCTCCGTCCCAAAATATAAGAACGTTTTTTACACTATACTAGTGTCAAAAACGTTTTTATACTTTGGGACAGAGGGAGTACCTCAAAAACCATCAGGAGAATCAGAATGCAGCATAACTCACCAACTGAGTCAATTGTTGTTCAATCCAAAATAAAATAAAAATCGAGACCATGTTGCTCAATCCATAATGCTTTGAAAGCTGTTTCTATATAAGCTTATAACTGAAAAAGAGAATAGCAGACCAATTGTACAAAATCACACTAGTTCAGTAAGGAAGCAATACCGGATTCTTTTTCAGCTCGTTTTCATTCATACCCATCCCTACGATCTTCTCTTGCTTGTACCCAGCTGGATAATGGCTCACCTAGATAAAGTGCAAACCAGTAAGCCACTTGGCAAGAATACGTAGAGATGACAGGTATAACTTGGGAACTCCAAAAATTCCTACCCAGCTACTGCACATGTCCAGGATGGCCACGCCTGGAGTGTTGCTTGGAGGAAGAACTTGCGAGTAGTATTTTGTGAGCGCTCTGATTGCTGGGTCGTCAATGTGCGTGACAAAACGGGGAGCCGAATAGAACACAGTATCTGATGACCTGCCAAGTAAGAAGAACGAACCATACATCATCGGGGTATCAGGTCATACAAATAGATACAAGATTCATAAGCCACTGGCTACTCGGAATCCTGAAAATTTTGCTCGCGCACTGCGTGGTGAGTGTGCTCCGAGCTACTTACTCGTCGAAGCGGCCGAAGTCGTCGGGCTTGAAAGGGAACTCGTCCGGCCACTCCACATTCTTCAAAATCTGCAAAGCACGACGGACAATTTGCACAGCTCAAAGACATGCCGGTGCCGCGCCGCGCGCACGGCGCACTAGGAGTCTAGGACTCTAGGAGGAAGCAAAGAAAGTCTGGCCTGTGGCGCATACGAACCTCTTCGACCGGGGAGACCCCCTGCCTTGGCCGCGCCGCGGCCACGAACGAGCGGGACGGGGCACCACCGGAGGCCATGCGGGCGAGCTGGTCGACGAAAGCGGCGCCGAGGCCGAGGAAGACGCGCCGCGCTGCCTGCGGTGGCACCGGAGGACGGCGGGCACGTGGGACGGCGGCGGCGCGGACGCGAAGCGTCCTAGCGCGGGACCTTCTCAGAGCGACGAGGAGGAGGTCGGGGCGTGGCGCGAGGGTGGCCATGGGCGTGCAGACGGGCAGACGGCGGCGGTTAGGAGGGGGGCGCGACCCGGTGCCGCCATGTATGTGTGCAGGAGAGGCGTCGTGGCGCCACGCGCGTCGCAGAGACGTCTCTGCCCGTGGAATGGATTGGGGTTGGCGTGGCTCGTTCGCTGGCTGCTGTGGACGCCTGTCGTGTGGGTCCTGTTTGCTCCCGTGAGATTACGACTTCGCCATAGTCACAGACAAACACGAACGCGGACTTCGTTAATGATGAACAAAGTGCAAAAGCAGGCTCTAAATTTGTGATTTCAGCTCGAATCTCTCCGAAAGGCGACAGGATTCAGTCAGTCAGTCAGTCGCATGGCAGAAGATCGAGAAATTTCCAACCAAACAATTTCAACGAAATCTTTCAGTTTCTCATTAATGCATCCACACACGTCAACGACTATGTGTGCTTTTTTTTGCGGGGGATATATGCTACATTTTTTTTAGAAAACTATATATGCTACGTGACTTTACACACCCTGCAGCGGTGGGCAGGTGGCCCTTGGGCCGACATATAGACCATGTAGATACAACAGTTGCAACACTCCGAAAGTGTTGTTCTGCACGTGAGCTCACATGAGCTTGGGTGAACAGCAAAATTCAAAAAAAATGTTGAAAACAATTTTGGCATGAAACATTGATGTTTTTTCAATATGCATGCAAAATTTCGCTACGACATTTGCTGTTCACCCGAGCTCATGTGAGCTCGGGTGCAGAACTGCTATGTCCATAACACTCCCCCTTTCTTAAAAGAAAACATGATTGTTGGTGTCAAAACCGGCAGATCTCTGGGTAGGGGGTCCCGAGCTGTAGATTCTCAGATCAATGGTATCAGGAACGAAGGAGACGATGTTTTACCCAGGTTCAGGCCCTCTTGATGGAGGTAAACCCTACGTCTTGCTGTTGTTTATATTGATGGAGTATCAAGTACAGAGTTGATCTACTTCGAGATTATATGTTGTGGTCTAAAACCTGAGGGTATGATGAATAATGTCATAATAATCTAGCGATTAGCCTGGCCTCGGCTTATATAATGTACTGGAGGTCTAGGATAACAAAAGTCCTAGTCGAATACGTTGCTGGAGAGGAGTCCTTGTCTTGATCATTAAGTTTTGTGGAATCTTCCTCGTGTGTGGCATGGGCTGCCCGAAGTGGCCCATGAGTGAACCGCCATGGGGGTCCTCGGCCCGATCCAGCTGGTCGGGAGACGACGTGGTGAGTACCGCCTAGTCCAGGACACCGTCAGTAGCCCCCTGAACCGGTCTTCAAGTTGGGGACGCTCCTCGATTCTTCCGAACTGTTCTTCATCTTCGGTCGTCGGTCTTGAAAACTGGTTCAACAAATTTTCTTATCTTCGATTTTGAGGATCGCCGAAGTAAATCCGAAGAGTTTACACATTGGGTATCCTGAGGAGCCCCTTTAAGTTATCGGTCGTTATCAATCCTTGTTATTTTTACGCCCACCTCGGGTTTGAAGTGTTTCCCGTGCGACAGTGTCCTCTCGCGTCCGAGCTCCAACACTGGACTGCATTTGAGGTATCTTTTGCAACCGAGCAGCAACGTCGAACCGCTTCCGAGCTTCAACACCGGAATGTATCCGAGCTCCAACGCTGGACTGTATCCAAGGTGCCATAGATTACCTTGGTCTTGAAAAAGTTTTAGCCGAGCTTAATGCCGGAAATGACCTCTAAGGAGCCAGTCACTTGCATCCGAACTATATGTCGAACTGCTTCCGAGGTGGCTCAGCACCTCGGTCATGGGCTGATTGTTTGCGGATTTTATTTCTGATGCGTATAAATTTATTTGCTGACGAGATGTATGGCCAGTAGTCCTCAAGGTGTCTGTCGGCCTAAAATCCGAGATGCACCTGAAGGAAAATATGAAACCGTTGATCCTAGTAGCTTCTGAGACTCAGGTCGTGAAATCGGCCTGAGGATCAACTCCTAGCTCAGCAGCAGACATATAATAGAAATGCAGTGTAATATATTAGAGGTAATAGTGATCGGCGGACGGCCCCCTGAGAGAGGGTTTTGAGAAGTCGCCGTAATATATTAGTTTGATGCCGGATAAGTCCCAGATGGTACTTATTGTTGTCCGAAGACGCGTTTGCCCATAGTTCGGTCCAGCCGAACACTGAGCACTTTGAATTTTCCGCATTGAATAGGCAATGCAGTAGCCCCCGAGACACTGGTCGGGTGGCAACACCAGATCAGGGGATCGATACACCCCTTTTAATATTAGTGAATGATAAGCCCGAAGCCCAGTAGCCCTCGAGCCTTAATATGGGCACGGGTGGCCGAATTAAGGATCGATATCTAGAGTAAAATTACAAATTATGTGTAATGATTCTACATATCCAAGTACTTTACATCATTAATGCTCGGATCCGCATTGTACAAAACTTTGTTGACCGACCATCGGCTTCAACCTCCTTGGCCAGAAGCCGGGGACTGTTTGTCCTACTTTATAAAGTTGTTATACGGGCAAAGATTTATGGAAAATAAGGCAATCCGACCATACGGTTTTATAAACAAAGGTACACAGAGAGATATGAAACATCTTCCGAAAAATTAATCCCGCTATCGGTTCCTTTCTTTGAGTTGTCATGCTGATCATGATCATGAAATCTCACCTCCAATCAATGTGGGAGGAAAATATTGAGGATTTAGTTCGGGGAAAGTTCCCAAACTCTATGGTATTAATGAACCAAAATTTTCACTTCCGTCGTTGCCGACCAATTATATCCTTTAAAATCGCTAGCTTTCGGCTTCACCCAGTCTGAGGTACTAACTCGGATGCCCCGGTTGTAACAATCACAGAGGTGCTCCCTTTACCGCCTAGCCGAACAATCGGGAATGTAGGGGTAAGCACAGGAGCCAAGCAACCTAGCTTGGCCAAAATCTTAAGTCAAATTGATGCATATTTATGGTTTTATAACGATGATTACGGAAAGTAGCCCTCGTATATAAAATACGAACACCGATGATATATTTATTTTGACTCCGTTGAGATCGTTTATCACTTGAAAGTGGCTCATCGTCGGCTTCCACCCCCTTGTAGATGCTACGCAGGGTGTTTCCGTAATAACAAGACAACCCTTAGCCGACGTCTCGGTGCCCGAAGGCGGTTGTGTTAGCAGAAACAAGGCAATCAGATATGCGGGCTTTCTAACTTTCACTTAGTCATAGGAGCTTTAAACTGGGGAAGCTAGCTACGAGCCCCCGGTTAGTGTTCGGCACCGACCGAAGTCTAGCCATTATCACTTCAGCCAATGTTATGAAAGGCCCATCGTTTAACACGGGGTAATTGGTATCGATCTATAGTTTGATACTGTCATCGGATCGCTGACCAGTTTACGCCCATTGTGACAGTCACTTTTCGGCTTTCTCCATTGAGGTGCTTAACCATTCGAGCTGGAAGCACAATAGGAGTGGTTCTCCCTTTGTACACCTAGCCAAACAAAGCGAAATGTAGGAGGCAAGCACAGGAGCCGGGCAACCCAACTATTGACCAAAGACACAATTCAAAACTGATGCATGTATAGCAATATCCGAGAATTTTTGTGCCGAATCTCTAAAGGTGTCCAACGCTGCACTACGAGACTTATGCTGTAAACAAACAAATAGTTTAAAAGTGCCATAGGCTTGAAAAAACAAAAAACTTCAGTAAAAACTTTACGCCCGAACTGAATCAAGTCATTTGGTGCCAATCCGAAAATTGATCTTACTTTTGTGCTTCTGTCGTGCATTAATATGACACATATGATCTCAAGACTTCAAGCGGGTCAGCCTATGGCTGCAACCTCCTATCCCGAAGGCGGAGTACTGCTCGTTAGACCATTTTAGCGAACTAAATTCGAGTGGTCACTAGAGAGAAAATGGGCTACCCGGCTATTGACCACACACTCGCGTCGAAAAAGGAGTGATAGAGAAAGATTTTGCAATGACTAGGAAGAAAACATATTTACTATAAAATGGCTCATATAAATTTAAGAGCCCCCAATAAACTTGGGTAAAAGAATTTTATGTATAATGATTGTATGTAACGAAGTACTTATATCATATATGTGTTCACCCGAACTTTTAAACGCGTCTTAACCGACCGTCGGCTTCTCCCTCTTCGGTCAAGGGCCGAAAAGTGTTATGTACTCCACCTGTCGAGAATATCGAGGGTGCTTCCGATAACCAGGCAATCAGGCCATAAGGCTGTAACAGACAAAGCACGCTTAGAGAACTTATGCTATATTACTGACGAAGTGTAAGAAGCAACTTCGAAAAAAATAGTACCCCCATCGATACCTTTCTTCGGTTGCTCATTGTTAGTATGAGACTTGTGCAATAGATTTTTGTACTCATGAGTTCTGTTGTGTGCCGACCATGATTGAAAACAATAAGAGCACTAGCTTTCAGCTTCACCCAGTCTAAGGTCCGAGCTCGGATGACCCGATCGTGACAATCGCAGAGGTGCTCCCTTTACTCCCTAGTCGAACAATCGGGAACGTAGGGGTAAACACAGGAGCAAGGCAACCCAGCTTGTGGAACACTTAAGTCAATGCTACCTCTTGAGCACTGCGTTGGATTTCCCCGAAGAGGAAAGGATGATGCAGCAAAGTAGCGTAAGTATTTCCCTCAGTTTTTGAGAACCAAGGTATCAACCCAGTAGGAGGCTGCGCGTGAGTCCCTCGTACCTGCACAAAGCAAATAACTCCTCGCAACCAACACGATAAGGGGTTGTCAATCCCTTCACGGTCACTTACGAAAGTGAGATCTGATAGATATGATAAGATAATATTTTTTGGTATTTTTGTGATAAAGATGCAAAGTAAAATAAAAGCAAAGTAAAAAAGCAAAGGAAATAACTAAGTATTGTAAGATTAATATGATGAAGATAGATCCGGGGGCCATAGGTTTCAGTAGTGGATTCTCTCAAGAGCATATGTATTTTACGGTGGGTGAACGAATTACTATTGAGCAATTG